GTCTTGGCTATAGACTGTTAAAATTTTGTAGAATTGTGAATAGTGGAACATACTCAAACAACGATTTTAAAATATAGATAACAGGTGCAAACATTATCTCTTTTGAATGCTTAGCAAGATTTAGCAAGGCTGTACATAAATAATAAAAAATAAACATGGTGAAAAAAGACGGGATCTCCATATTATGCACTATATTTAACTTTTAACAAAACGATAATACATTTAAATTTGGAACTGTTACATCCATTTTAATTATGAGTATTAGCAAACTTCTTACTGGGTGAATTGTTATGCAAATTAGCAATTATCTCAGCTTCTTTTTGGTGCACATCCCAGAACTTTAAAAAAATAGCTCCTAGACGCTTTGACCTTTTGTTTTGAAATCTTCACAAATGATTGACAATGTGTTTATCTTCAAAACGCCGTCGGGGCATTGTTTTGGGTTGAACAGTGTCACAGCAATCGTACAGAAAACTAGCCTGGGTGTTAATTGATGCATAAACTTGAAGTAGTGAAATTTGGGCTGCTGCCCTGCAAAATTGACAACTGATAGACAGTATTAAAGACGGCGCTTTCTTCATAGTAAACAAATGTACCCACAAACCAATTTTGACAGGAAACAGAAGCATGGTTTAGGAGCTAATTTTTTTTTAAATCACTTTTGACCAAAAAAGCACATTTTTGTGCATATTTCAAACTACAGTGTCCATAAAAAAATACTAAATTTTTTTTTTAATTCATACAATAAGCTTTCCGAAAATATTTAGTTTTGTGGACAAGGGGACCTCCCTCTTGGTTTCCTAATTAACTACATTGTAATTAAAATACCTGTCAGGTAAATTGCATCTCTACCTTAAGCAAATTATTACGCACGTCACAAGCCAATGTTGACCCCCATATTTATACATGGTGACTATCTGTTTTTAATTTAAATATCTTTCGAAGAATGTAGATGTTAATCAAATACTAGGCAGACGTATAGTTCACAAGATATAATAATTTTCTTTGCCTTACACAGAGATAACTACATCAATAATTAAACGTAAAATTAAAATTGTAACGAGGACCTTCCCTTTCTAATAAAACATTCCTCAATTGCCACGATGTGATGGTTCTACAATTTAGCCATTTACTTTCCTCAATTACATGTGAACTTCGTCACATATTTCTGATAGAAATACACAGTGAAAGGACAGAAATGCTTTAATGCGTGTGAAAACAGGAGAACCGTCCTCCAGGTAATCAAAATGCGATATTTTTAAATAATTTCTTCTAAAAAAATATTAAGATTCATTTTTCTTTATTTTTGTTTTAGTTCTACCAATTTAAAGGGTGTACATATTTCAAGTGTTAACAACATAATTTGGCATACTTATCACGACACTATGAATTTTACGTGAACTTCAAATGGACATAAGCATTCATGATGCTCCTATGCAACACTATGTCTCGTATACTCTAATGGGAAAAAAATCTTACGCATACATATGTATAATGTATATATACCCAAACCGGTCATAGAAACATATTGCGGGAAAGAGTCATATTTATTTTCCCAAGTGGTGGAAGGGGAAGGGGGTACGACGCCCATTAAGGGGTCACTCCTAATATAATATAGATCCTAAAATAAAAATATTTTCATGGGGTATATGCAAAATATAGTTAGCGTGCAGGCAGTCAAGCATACGGGTAACTGAATATCAACTAATATATACAAATGACCCTCACATTTACTGTGGCTGTAAGAAGGAATGGGACACCAGTATTGCAGTATGAGACACTGTTTTGTTAATAATATAGCTATATGGCTCTCAATGTTTCCATTGATTCCTGTAGCAGCACTTTGTGTAATGCAGATGTTTTTCTAACAACACAGGGTTCCATATTGCAATTATGTCGTACCATTCTTTTTTGTTGTCATATTAATGATCGCAACTACTGTTCATAGTGTTTTTACATGAGAACTATATTAAAATTCGTAAATGTGAAAAACAAATAACCCACAGCTACTAAATCCTTAGTAACGAAAGCAATTAATTTTAAAAATGTGAATGTATTGATTGAGTTTGTGGGGGTCTCCGTTATAAATATGGTTGCCCCAGGCTCACATGGCATCTACATGTAAAAGCGTGACGTGGAATTACGTAAATGTGTGGCATTTATACGAATCACATATACATTTGTTCGTAGTTAAGCGCAGGTGAATGGGTTGACTTGGGTCATGATACCCAAAGACGTGACAACGTCGACTGTACCATCAGAACTATGCATGCATGCATGACTACGTGCATGTCATCGCGACAGCATCCGTCACGGTTGTTATATATTGCAGTACATTATAAAGTAGAATTGTATTTTGAAGGCCACTAGAGTGTATTTTACAATGAAATATTGCACATATTTTTTTTAATTTGTTATTAATAAACGTTTTAATTTTTTTAATTGTGTTATTTTTATAGAAACGAGCAAACTTAGAGCGCTGGGTGGAATGCGGCAAAAATGGAGGTTCTGGTGAAAGAGTGGTATCTATTTATATAATATCCTTGACAATTTATATTTAACACAAAGTAATTAATATTCATTTATCGTGACATCAACATTGCCATTAACGTTGCCACATACGTACTACTTCTAAATTTTAAACACAAATGATACTGAAATAATCCAAAACAATCGGGAATATACAGTGAATCAACTCAACAAGTTGTCCAACTAAATACAGAGATAAAATGCTGTTAACAAGCCCTCGCATTGTTTGTAAAATTAAATTGATGGAAAATACAAACACGTATTCCCTAGTTCAAGAACAGTATAAAGTGGTTACGTAGCTCAAACGTCGACATGTCATGTATTGTCGTCATTTCATCAAGGTTACTTTGTAAAACATGCGTCGAAGATGTGCATTTGATTATTAAATAAATAGCTATTATATTCCATCGAAAAGAGAGACTTATTCAATATACCAAGTCAGAGAGCCGTTTTACACAAAACTGTCAACACACAATACCATAATTAGAAATGCTGTCATTAATGTTTCACTTAAATAATAGGTGATACTAGTTCAATTTGTGTTGGCTAGGCGTAATTGAGGTTCACTGTACCACTGTATGACAACAGTTACAGTGGATGGTCGCGCCACTTATCTAGATTAATAATAAGCTGGTGAGAAATGCAATAATGTCCGCACTGACGCAGAAATTGCTCAATTACTAATTTAACAGATCCTATAGCAGAATTCATACTGTTCAAATACGATCTCGGTTTAAATGCCACTTAGCTACGAACGTTAGACGGACAGCTTTGAGTACATTGTTGGAAATTGTGCGAAGCTATGGGAGGTGTAGACGTTGAACCACCTCCTGCATTATTTATTGTTGCATCCATAATGTTTTGCAGCGTAATTTATTTTATTTTTATTTGCACATGCGTGTAACATGGCAAACATTGCGTCAATGTGCACACAGGCTTATGCTAGCAAAGCATGTCTACCGTCATTGTACGAAAAGAAAGAAGCGTTAAAATGCGTATTTGTTAAATCTAACGCTACGGTCATCGGCAATGTATCGGCGACAACAAATGATGTTTGTTGATGTTAGATTGTGAATAGCACATACTCGGCCATGGAGGCTTAGATTATTGATGTAAGAAAATAGTAGCCGTAATTCATCTTTATCAGAAACAGTGAACTCTACATAATCATCTGTGAGTGTGTCCCTAGCAACCCTACCTCTGAGAACGTATTCTTGTACTCGTATACTATTACGTCATACAATGCGGGTGTATGTCACGCACTTATTCATATATATATATATATATATATATATATATATATTGGTGCCCATCATTTGGCACGTTCTTAATCAATACTTGGTTATGAAACAAAATAAGAACCAACGTAATTATATTTAATTTGCTATATAATGAAAAGCAATTTCTCGCTTTGGGTGATTTAATTTATAATGGAAATGGCTCTCCTTCGCTGAAATATTTCTCTAATAATCCGACCAGTGTGTTATTAAATCAACTGTTTAATGTCACGCCTAAATATGCTAGTAAATATGCTATCCGACTAGTAGCTAATACACGCCTGGTTACAATATTTTATTACTGTTGCCATGAAATTTAAATTGCGTCATCGCAACAAGAGGTTCTGCTGTGTTCTGAAAGCTGAATTGTATTGAGTTCTGATCTCCGTAATTGCTGCGATACTCCTGGACTACACTATTTAACAGTCATCTTAAAATGTTCTCATTAGAATTTGCAGCTTAATTTAAAATTAATGACACGAAATATTACACTAAAATTATTCAACACATACGTGAAGACACAATTCCAAACCTCCTTGCATATATCAGCAATAATTCGGGAAGCATATGTGATTATACCAGAAGGAATTATTTTATTGTGATAATATTAAACGTTCACAGTTGGAAATATATATATTTGAGTACAAAATGTCTAGTGGGCTCATGTTACGCGTTCGATTATGCAAATTTCGAATTCGTTGCTGACAACTTTTGGATTTTCTACGCCAGTTCGGAAAAATGTGTGAAAATATTATGCTACTTGGTACTTGTTACCTTGAGGTTAAACAAATAATTTGAAAATACGGAGCCGCGACTATAACTTTGTAAATATATTAGTCAAATAATGGCGAGCACATGTTGCACCAGTATCGACCACCCGTTTCTCACAGCGACACGGAATGGCATTTTAATGAGAGTACTTTGTCCCACGAAATTGTCCAATAAAATATTACGCTGGAGGACAGAGTTCCGAAATACATTATCAATAATGGCGACACCTGTTGATTGGAGTGAAATAGAAATTACTGGTCCCAAGAGACTTAATATTTAACGTTTTATTGTTTTTCGCGAAAGATGTAAACGAGGACATTTCACTCATCTGCGTAATATGACGGTTTGTCAAAAACGTATTTGCACTGAGGCGAATGCAGTCATTTGAAACAGGAATATAAAACAAAGGTTTGTTTTTCTTACCTATGTTGCCATTTTCAATAGCTATAACGAGCGCAGTACGCCCTTCGCCGTCAACGCAGTCCTTATTGATATTGGCCGGGCTATCCAAAGCAACAAGGGCTGCTTTTCTGTCGCCTCTGTCCACAGCCGTCAAATAGAGCACTTCAGCCGGACTTTTAGCTCTTTTAATCACCATGTTATCTTGCAGGTGAACGAAGTACACTAGTGCTCCGACGTTCGGTCCGCGCCCAGCAAATAACGATGTTGCCTCCATGCAGCACTGAGTGGCGCGGTAAAAATAACTCGGTATCTATGATAAGACGACAGACACGGGTGTCGGTTATAGATCGCTGGTAAAGGAAAAATAATGTGGTGGGCAGTTCACAGTTAACTTAGCAACGGTGAGTTGTTTTGCGCATGCCCAGTTGATAGGTTAATTGACACTCTCCGTTCCTCTTCAAAGAGCACTTCTCTTGTTCCATGAACCATTTCCAATTGAATTTCAAAGCGAGGCGGAACGAAAAAACGGCAACTCGTTTTGCATAGTTCTGTTAATGAGGTTTTGTACTGAAGACGAGACTAATGATCAATGAATTTGTTTGTCTTAATTTAAAAAAAACAACATAATTAATGTGACATGTTTTTTTATTTATTCTGCCCTGGATAAATAGATGATTATAATATCAAATCTAATCATATTTAATTTCGTCTTTGGTAATATTTTTAAGTAGGGTGCAACGATTACTAGTATCATGTACACTGGGCCAGGGTATTCAACATAATTGTGTGTATGTGCATGATAGAACTAATTGACAGGACCATATGAGACTATCTATACTGCGTTAGTGTGAGGAGAGGGGTCAAGTTGCCGTGGCAGATTGTGTGTTGTTTAGGTATTCAAAAGAATGTAACTTGTTTTTCTTTCGAGAACCACGGGGTCTTTTATAATGAAACTAATCAGAGGAGGCAGAAAGGGTACGATTTTTTCGTGTCCAAAAAGTATTAATATAATTAATTATAATTCTACCTTTAATTAGGTTTCAGTTAATTAGATGAAAGTTTCAATTGTGAAAGCATCGTATCTTAAGAACCAGATAACGTATCTCGCTAAATTTTGGCGCGCATTGCATGTCCCAAAACAAATATTAATTAGACATTTAATATGCACTTTCGTTCCTCGCCATGTGTTTTTATGGTCATTTGGTCCATGCATGCATATGATGTATGATGGTATTTTCTTATTCGAGTGTATGGGTAATGGACATGCATGGTGTTATTATAAGTGTATGTAAAAGTTGTCGTGGTATTATATATGTATCATAATACTCCGCAGCTATAGCTGATATTTGGCATTCGAATACTCTGGGAAAAAAGTTCTTATATTTGAAAAGAAATTTTCCCCCAGAATATACAAATTAAATATTATATTCCCCTATATCATATGTCACCAATCTCCAATATGAAGGTTGCAGTAAAATTGTACAATCTTCATATCGTATGATTTAATTCGAAGAATGTTTTTAAAGATGGGTCTCCCATTGCATTTGATTATTGATTTAATTTTTGAGGTGAAAGGTTAATTATTTAAAATCCTCTTGATAATTTTTACACCTGGCTAAAATTTGCTATACCTGCTATTCAATTTTGTAATGTATTTCCTCAAAAATATACTAACTAAATCCACTGGTAAAATTGGAGTCAATATTTTCACCATTTCCTCTCACCATGTTTTTCTCGTATGCACATAAGAAGTCTATCCGTAAAACATTAGTATTCAAATTTCTGATTTGCAGCTATATTTTTATTACTATTTTACTGTTTTTACGTTTCAGTTGTTTAAAGCACGGCCTCCGTGATTTAAAAATACAACTTCACGAATTGGCTCGATTATATAACCTGCCATCAAGACAAACATTATTCGCTCTACATAATATTCATGAGGCATGGAAGCATTCATGTAGAAAAGTGCTACGACTCTAGAGTGTCATAGTATTATTAGAACCCCTCAGGACGAGGAGGTTAAACTATAGACACTCATTCACTTCATTGCGTCGTTTTGTTCTCGTGTTTACGAAGCTGCAAATATTACTACTCGGCTACCGGGAGAGATACGTGCGCACTGGTAGACAAATACACGAACTTATACACATCATCAACACCCATATATACTCTGCGAACGGAAGCCCAACGAATGTTACTAAAGTAGTCTGTACCCGACATCACACACATATACAGATATACAAAGCAGTCTGGCAGTGTTCATATTCAGAGTTTATTTGTCTCCCTACTACAAATAATAAAACATATGTTGTACAAACAACGTGTGTCAATACACGCTACGTGCTCTATATATGTATTTATTGGTCCAAAAATGCATGGGTTGTTTAAAAATATTAAAGCGGAGGGGTCGTCACACCTGCGCACGCGCGGGATAAAAACACACGCTAAAAACGCAAAGGTTCATGGGTAGACGCTTGTTTGTAAACAATGCCACGCCATGGCCATCTGGCGCATGCGCAGGTGACGACTCCCCGCTTTAACTATATCATTATTAGTCTAGTGAGATGTCATTTTAATATAGATTGAGGTAATTTACTTAGATGATTATTCCTCATATGTGTTTTATTCTTCCCCACACAGGATCGTGGGCTTACAATTGAATCGAATTGGATCCAATTACATACATTACATAATTACACATAACACAACAAACGTTTTTCATTATATCCCTCCATAACGAGAGATAGTATTTTCCATATTTCTTTTTTGTGATCGACAATACTACACTATTCGGCTATATTAACGCTTGAGCCGGCGACACATATGAAACACATGTTAAAGACATGTCAGAAATCAAAAAAAAAATCGAGAAACTAACTCGCAATCTCGAGAAATTCGTGATCTCGAAAAACTATCTCGTAATCTCGCGAAATTATCTCGTGATTTCGAGAAACCATCTTGGGGCAGATGTCAATGCTGATTACGAATTTATTTAATCTATAATTGAGAGCGGCATTGTTCCAATAATTGGACCCCAGACGACCCAGCTGATTGATCATAGAGACATTGCATTACTAAGTTGTCTTAGTAAATTATTTAACTCAGTTATAAATACAAAGTTATCAAATTATCTAGAAAGAGTAGGAGCAATTGGGGATGACAAGGATTGTCAACACTTGGATCATATATTTGTTCCTTACTCTATAGCTGATTTTTACCTGAAGAGTAAAACACGTGTTTTCTACGAATGTATCGATTACAAACAAGCTTTTGACCGAATTTAGAGGGCTTCATTATGAGCTAAATTCATTACCAATAACATAAATCGTAAAATTGTTACAAGTATGTATATAAGTATTTTGTGAAATTACTGGCAGGTCTACCATCGTAATTGGACATTATTCCACCTTTTGTTCTACTCTTCGTTTTTCTATTCGCGGGCCTTTTCAGGTTCGCGACTGGTTGGATCCAATATGGCGGCTGCCATGGTAAGATCTCCACGGAGCAGTCTATTTGATGGGCTAACACGCAATCAGGTGTGAATCACTTACTAGGGTCAACATTGAATACTATGTACTTGCCATTGCTTATGTTGTTGAGCCACGAAATATTGTTGCTGCCTCCCGAGTTAATGCCAGCATTATCTCGTTACGGACGTGTTTCAGTAACATTTGTAAAATATATCGTGGTTTAGACTTGCAGACTGTCTTTTGTTTAATTTTTGATGTTTTGCAATCAAATATGGAAGTGTGTAAGTGACGAAAGTCTGGTTACCTTGTTTATTCCGCGGTAACCCGGTTTTTGCGGTAATCAGGCTTTCGATAGATAAGAGAAACATGCAAGTCTACTCTTGACAGGGGCGGATACAGGATTTTGTTATGGGGGGTTCAAACTTTAAAATCGCCAGACTAAGTTAATGATTTTTTTTAATATCATACAAAAACAAATTGAACTAAGACATGTAAAAATCTTACTGTTGTGACAAGCGTTCATGCTCTGTCAAAAAATGGAAATACATGGGGTGAGTATTATTTCATATGAGGGACAATATCGTATTTATTTAACTACTATTGAAGTCATCATGTTTTGAAGTTCATAAGAAAAAACATGTCCGACCCAAATGCGAGGGCGGTTTATAGAAAACTATTATAAACAAGCCAGTTAAATATCCCGTTAAACGCCAACTGAAGAATCAATAAACGTACTGACATTCATTCTGCCACTGTTGATGTCATGTGCGCTGAAAATGCAAATGAAGGTATTGAAAGTAACTGTATTGTAGGCAGTGGAACCGCGGTAACTGTCACTAAAACAGATGAACATACCTGCGACGTGAGTGATAATGACACTAGTAAATCTAATAACACGTAAATTAGGCCTACTATTAATGACGCAACATTGAAAGACCGCCCCCCACTTTCAATGTCATTCGGTTTTTCTTGTTCTTTTTTCTGCACTAAATAACCAAACGCCGACACCACAGAATGTCGAACAACTTTCAGTGAAGTGAAAATACGTAAACGTCTCATTAATACCATCCAAGATTTCCTGTAGGGGTCAAAGTGTGCGTCCAGTGTACCAGCGGTTAAATTCAAGAAAATCAGTCGATTTTGCTGAGGATGTCATGGTGCCTATTACGTCAGATGTGCCGAACATTTTCTCGGATTATACAAGAGGATTATCCTAAGGAAACTGACAATCTTTTATCTGATGCTGTTCTTGGAAGATTCGGTTAACTCTAAAAGAATAATTGAGCATGTAACTGAGTTCTGCCCTTCGCAAAACAATTTACGTAAAAATGCTGACATAAAACACAAGGAGAAAAAACGAATCCAGCGACTAGCATCCAAGCTAGGAAAACACTTTATGAAGGTTACTAAACTAAGAAAAACAGATGCAAGGGACGACGAAACTCAATATGCAACGTAGAACCAATGCAAATAAAAAAAGGGAAAAGCTTCCCTGTGTACCCCAAATGATTGACACTAAGCTGACAAGTACCATGAACGCGATTGAATACAAGATCAACATTTACACCATTGCTAAACAGGAAACTTTTATTTTATGCTACAAATGCAACAAAAAGAGAAATACCCGACGAATCTGCAGAAAAGTACACCTAACTCGCAGAAGACTCCAGTCCGACACCAGCTGTCATCAATCAACGAAAGTATACATTCAAACATTGGAATACAC